AGATGATTGATCACTGACTGAGAGCACAGGGAGATGAACAAGAAATCAATAAAGAGTAGAAAGCAGTGGTAAGGTGGGAGACACTTTGCTCTGGGACCCAAGTAGAGAAAGAGTTTCAGGGAGAAGATAGYTTTCAAAACTTAAATGTTGCTGATGGGACCAGGACAATGAAGAATGAGAATTAACCAATGGATTTAGCAATAAACAGTTGCAAGGAACCTTGACAAGAACAGTGTTAGTGGAAGTTACAAGGGACAGAAAGCCTGACTTCAGTCACTCAAGGTTATCAGGCCACTCAGGCTACCCTAACAAAACACTGCACTTGCTAAAACAACAGAAATTTATTTCTTCACAGTTCTGAAGGTTCTGAAGTCCAAAATAAAAGGTGTTGGAAGATTTGGTTTCTAAGGAGGATTCTCTTCCTCACTTGCAAACCGTGACTTTCTCACTGTGTCCTTCTCACTGGGTCCTTAAATGACAGGCCTCTCTCTCTCTACCTCTTTTTTTCTCTTCCTCTCTCTCCCTCCCTCTCTCTTTCTCTCTGCTTTTTCTTCCAATGYCATAGTTCTATCAGATTAGGACCCCAATATATGATTTCATTTAACCTTAGTTACCTCCTAAAGATCCTCTCTCCAAGTGTAATCACATGAGAGGTTAAGGTTTCAATATAAAAATGTGAGTGGGGGACACAATTCAAACCATCGCTAAGAGAGAATCAGAGAAAGCAACTATAAAGCGCTTTCATGGATTTTTCCTGTGCAGAAATGGAACAAATTGAGTTTGCTGGAAAGCAATATAGGATCAAGAAAAAACTGCTTGATTCAAGGTGAGTAGGAGAAATAAAAGTATGCTTATATGTTGATGACAATGATTCAGTAAGAGGGAATATGGGAAATTGCTGGGGTGATGTCCTTGATAGATGAAGGGCAGAGGAGCACATAWGGTTCTGCCAAAGCAGGAGACAGAATGAAAGGACACAGGTACACAGAGTCCTGTCCATGCAGTGGGAGCTGGGCAGGGCTCTTGGAAATTCTCTTCTGATTATCTGTTTCCTTAATGGAATAAAAAGTGAAACTTACCAACTGGGAGAGGAAATGATGGCAGTTTGAGGTTAGAGGATAAGGTATGGGAGTCATCTAGAATAGCAGGAGAGTATGGACTAGGGACATGTAATATAATTACCAGGGAGCATTAAGGACACACTTAAAGCTTGTGGTCATGAATTTCAAGACAAGTAAACAGGTTGCATGCTTTCACCAAGCCATGGGCTGCCACAAAAATGCAGGCAGAAGTAGAAAAATGAATTTAACCAAGTTTTGACTTAGCCAAGGGGCATAAGGAAGTATGAAAGTCACTGGTGTCTGTATATTGTTGTACCATGCAATGCAGCTTTTTCTGTCTTGAGTTAGAGTCAGTTGGGGGTTCACCTTCTCTCTTCCAGAGATTAAACTTCTTCATCAGAGGGCTTTAATTTTTATTTTTCATCCTTATATTTTCCAGTGACCCTAACACAATCAATGACTTAAAATAGGAAATGTTCAGAATTCTTCCTAAACAAATGATTCCAGGAATCCCAGAGAATTATCCTGATGCTGGGCTACTTGGAAGAGGCTCCCAGGGTGAGCAGTGACAGATATGGGCAAAATCCATTTACTCAGAGAGAGGCTGGGGGCCTTCATGAAATGGTGCATGGAAACTGGCCCCCTGGATCCTTCCATAGGCTGCCTCCAACCCCTTATGGCCAAAGTAAAAATTCATTTAACAGATATCCAGGCCCCACCAAAAAAACTTTGCATAGAAAAATGCAATAAAATGGACATAGTTAGGCCTAAAAGAACATGAGCTAACATTCACTACATAATTACTGTGCTCTATGCAGTATTTTAAGAGCTTTAGGACGCGAATTAATTTTCATCATAATCTTATATTGATACAGAATTATTCATATTATACTATTATCATCATCCCATTTTAGAGATAGAAAGTAGAATTATGTATAATKTACCAAGATTACCCACTGGTAAGCAACAGAGAGAAGGGTTTAACTCAGGCTGTCTGGTGCCAGATATGTTCCCAACCACCATTCGAGAGGATTCATATCATTTCCCTAGAATCTAWAAAAGTTATTCACTTAACTTGTGGGGAATCAAAATATCCTCTGCCTCAAATCCACTGGCTAAAATCACAACCCTCATCTTTCCTTTGGGTTCAATCATAGCCCTACTTTAGAATGGAAGTCAAAAGACCCACACCTTAGTAGAATTCAGTATGACACCTCCCAGGCGGACACAAGGCCAAGGGTCAGAAGATTTGGGACTAATCAGTCAATTTCACCATTTACTTATGTGAGTCATTTTAGACCTCTAAACCTTTTTTGTAGTTTTACCTATAAATTGGGATAGTTATGCCTGTACTGCCTGCCTTATTAAGATGGACCAGGAGGAGTACCTCCTAAAATATTATGTGCTAAACACATCAGAGATTGATAGAACACCAAAGCAGGTAAAATCAAAACACAAGAGAAAAGCTACCTAAGGCACACACAAGTGAGGTCTTTCCAGGACAGGTAACCTTAGGAGTGCTGAGACATCATCAGACCATGGACAAGGGAAAAGGGACAAAGGAGAAAAAGGAAATCCAGGAACCTGCCAATAACCATGAGCTGCTCTGTCCCAGGCCTGGGTGAGGCTAGTTTAGCTGAGCACACAGCCCTCGGCAGATACCCAGGGTCAGGGCTTCCACTGGCCCATGTACACTCCTTGTGTGAGCTAAGAATTGGTGCCCCTTTCTCAAGACTCTACTTCTACCTATCAGAAAATTGTCCTGATATACTTACTTTGCTAAATTAAGATATTTTACTGGCATAGACCTGAAAAACTGTTGTAACAAAATGGAAGACTACAGTGGTCCTGTTTTGGTCAGCTTTTTTGCTGCTGTGACTGAAAGATCTGACCAGAACAATTTTAGGGAAGGAAAAGTTTATTTGAGGGCTCATGGTTTCAGAGGTCTCATTCCATAGACAGCTGGTTACATTCTTAAGGACTTGAGGTGAGGCTGAATATCATGGTGGAAGAGTGTAGTACAGGGAAGCGGCTCATATGATGATCAGGAGGCAGAGAGAGAGGGAGAGACTCTACTCACCAGATATCAAATATATACACCAAAGGCATTCACCCCAATGACCCACCTCCTCCAGACATACCCTAACTGCCTTTAGTTACCACCAAGTTAATCCCATCAGAGGATTAATTCACTGATTGGGTTAAGATTCTCATAAGCCAATCATTTCTCTTCTGAATCTTCTTGCATTGTCTCACATGTGAGATTTTGTGGGACACATCACATCCAACCCATAACAGACACCATGTGAATGACACCCCCTCGGGTTGTGTAGTGCACAACAACACACAGCAGTTCTGCCTTGGATGAACCTCAATGCTGACTATCCTCCTCTATATCTGTATTTAAAATATCAGAGTGTGGTCATTTTAATTTTTAAAATTTGAATATTTTGGTTTCAGTCCCTTAAAATATACYATTATTAACCCCAAATTAGGAAGAATCTTTGAAGATCATAGACTTTCATACACATTTGGGGTAGGTAGGAAGTCAGTGGTGCATTTATATATTGTTAAGAACTGAGTAGTCATTTGTATTTGGAATAAACCAGTCAGACTCTCCATTTCAGTGGGACCCATTTCTTTAGCCAAATGCCACAGATTCAAAGTTGAATTTAAGGAGGGAAAGAATCTCAGAAAGTTGTTAAGCAAGGTCAAATCCAGTTTTTGTTTTTGTTTTTGTTTTTCTTCACATAGATGTTGTATGTATCTATTTCTTGAATAATAGCCACCTTGTGAAATAATGTCTAATAACATTTACATTTTAGAGGGTTCCTGTCTTGGCACTTATCTCCCAACCACCTATGAGTTCAATATTAGCTCATTTTACAGAGGAAAAGGCTGAGACTTGAGAAGGTAATGGCTAGAGTAAATAGCCAGTAGGTTGAGGAGTCAGGGTTCCAACCCACTTTCTCGGAATCTATAGCCACCTGCTCTCAGTTACTGAGAGCAATAACTATGAGTGGGGGGTAGTCACAGACTGTAATCCATAAACTACTGTATTTCTAAGTTTTAAGGAATGAGACTAGCACTAGAAGATAAGCAAATGGAGCCAAAGTCATGGGTGATATTTACTTGTGGATCAAATCTGTCACACAGCATCCTGAACATCTCGCATCCTTGGACCAAGGCAAAGTCAGCACAACAATTTGGACAGTAGCCAAGAGCATCATTGTTAAGAGCCAAGCAGTATTAGCAAAATAYATAAAATCTAATTTTGAAACTCAGAAAAACATCTTGGAGCTAAAACAATCCCTTCTTTTTKGGCCAACTAAATAAATACAATTTCCTCTACACAAAGATTGATATATTCATTTATTAAAGCAGTGACCTATACCATCCATTGTTATTGCTATAATATTTGTGTCCTAGAAGAGTTAGCTTCTTCAACCAGTACTTGGAGAAGGATTTGGGAATAATTGCCATTTAATTTCCTTCCTTTTTATTCTTCTTTATTTGCAGTACTGGAGATTGAATCCCAGGCCTAACACATCCAGGCAAGCACTCTACCATTGATCCCTTTTAGTATTTTTTTTTAAACAGTCTAATTTAGTTGCTCAGGCTGGCCTGGAACTTGAGATCCTCCTGAGTAGCTGGGATTATAGGCATATACAACCAAGCCTGGTCCTCTCTCTTTAATTTGACAGAAAGTGTTCTCATCCAACTGTGAAGATGAAATCAGTGGAATGGTGTGAAATATCAGGTTAACAATGGTGATTTCTCACCCATCAGACAAAGAAGGAAAGTCCTGGTGATTTTTATGACAATGAGCATTAAGGAAAAACCTCATAAACTTCTAAATCCCAGGGATTTAAYGATTTAAAGTCTGAGGCAGCCCCACTGACATCACAGATCCTTCCTGCAGTCACAATGCTGCTGAGCCACACTTGGGAAGATGCTCCAGAAACACGAAGACTTCAGTTAGCCTGCAATCGAGATTCCTTGGTATTTGGGCTTTCTAAGATAGAAAAAAAATCTCTTTCCTTTTAAAATATTCAAATCAACAAAAAATAAAACTGAGAAATCAAGCCTCATGAGTTCAGGTATTTACCTCATGAACTACTCAAATTTCTCATTCTTCACTATCTTACTTCTTATTACATATAAACAAAGTAATAAATCCCAAAGAAACCCCTCCGAWAGATAGCTTGGGCAAAGTAGGGTATGAAATTATTCTCTATGATTTTAGGACTGTTTGATCTCTACAAAGTTCCTAAATATCTCATGGAATTACCCGTGAGGATACACTCCACCTGCTGACTCTGGCTGTGATACCAGTATGGTGAAAACTGGGGTAGGGGTAGGGGGGAAGGACAAGTGTAAAACAAATTTGAAGCCTTTCTTTCAACTTTTACATCTACAAAAACTACCTTAATTTAAAAAAATAAAATAAAAACATCAGTGCAAAAATTCACTCGTCATAGTTCCTGAGCTGATTCTGCATTCTGGTTGCCTAGATACAGAAGTAAACAAAAGTGCCACCCCGACTGCAGAGGAACARCCGGATGAACCTGATGGCCCCCTTCCTGGCTCAGCCAGGGACCAAGAAAAAAAAGCAAGTACTTTAGATATTCATATCAAAAATAGAATATTTTGCTCAGCTTCTTTAAAGCTCAAAGTTGCTTAGTGAGTTTTAAGACATCTTGGAAGATTGGTTTTCCTTTTCAGTCTTCCCATATTGTTTGCTTATTCTGCCTTAAAATAGTGACTGATGACAGCATACGCTGAAAAGTAGAAGGGTCTCTATACATGAATTGGACTGATTTCAATATATGGAATAATTTTTTTATTTCATACTGATTTTTTTTATGAAGGTTCAAAAGGAGCCAAGGTGAACTCCAGGTRCAGACTTTAACAGGAAAAAAGACAATAGCTAAAAAAAAAAGTTTCTTTTATTAGTACTAGTCATATCTTCCACATTAATTAAAAAGGRTCTTATAAACAATCATTGTTTTTAGACTTTGGTAATTCTCGTAACACCTGCTCAGTGGATGTAGCCTTTTTATATGGAAAGAGCACCCGAAAGCCAGTACAACATCAAGTACTCATTCGGGGTCTCTATTGACCATTCCACAAACTGTGTGATTTTAGGTGATTTCTTAAACTCTCTGTTTACTCTTTTACAAAATGAGCTAGTTAGGCCTATCAGACAAAGTTGTAGGGTTTCAATGAGCCACTTAGATAAAGTGCTTAGCAGGTAGGAAGAGCTCAGTTAATAACTAAAGTAGTTATATTGTCATCATTTAAATCATCTTGAGCAGTTCTATTACTTCTGATTCTCAAGTTCTCCACCTATAAAAACAATCATCTTAATTATTTTCTATAATAACAAAAGATTTCAGTTACTTAAAATAATTATCCCTAATACAAAAATAGTGATACCCACTCTTTTGGAAGAATGAAATTCCATTATATGCAAGAAAGGATTTTAGAGTTCATAAAGTCATAAGAATTATAACATTTTAAAATATTCTTATGAAAAAGATGAAAAGTGACACATTTAAAACAATCCCATAATAACCATCAAATTGTTTGACTCTGAGACAATTTTTATATAAAATCATATTCCAGCCTATAGGAAGGAGATGAATAAGAACAAACGCCTATGTTAAATTAACAAAGATGTAGAATTTTAAGTACTGCCTTAGGTATGTAAGATGCATTTTAAAAGAGGAAATAATTGCACTACCATGGTGATTATTTTGCTGTAGGTAGTAGAATTATAAATAAGATTTTTAATGTAATTTTTAAATTTCTTATACTTTTCCAAATTTTCCTCCATCATGTTTAACTCTTTTAACTTTAAAGTGTGTGTGTACTGGGTGTATTTTTAAAAGGATGCTATTCATCTTCTTCCAAATGAGGCTTAAAATTAATAAAATTAAATTAAAACACGTAGTCCAGGTATGGTGGTGCATACCTGTATCCCAGTGACTCAGGAGGCAGAGGCAGGAGAATCACAAGTTCAAAGCCAGCCTCAGCAACTTAGCAAGGCCCAAGCAAATTAGCGAGACCTGTCTCAAAGTAAAAAAGGCTGGGAATGTGGCTCAGTGGTTAATGTGGCACCCTTGGATTCAATTCTTGGTACCAAAATTAATTAATTAACCTAAAACACACRTGTATGAATACTCTCACACATACACACATACCTATTACAGTTTAGAAAGAGAAGGAAAAATAACAGCTCAGGGACGTATTGTTCAACATACTTTTTCAATGCACAAATACTTACAGCGGCTACTGGGTACCAAACATGTAARGCAAGGACCAACCAGTTGCTGAGGAAATAACAAAACCAGATTTTCACTGGCCTAGGGGGGCAGCAGAGAGATGGGAAGGAAAGAACTAGCATGATCTAGGCAAGGACCCCAGGGCCCAGTACAATTCCAGCAGGAAACAGGAATAAAAGCGTGTGCCAGGGAAGACCAGTCTGATCGCTAAGGATTTAGGATGGTTTCCAGAATGTGCACCCGTGAGTGCCCAATGGTTAGTAGTGCCAAGCTAGGCTTAGGAGCATCCACAGCCATTCCACAATGAGGGTCAAAGCACTATACAGTAGCTCACCAACTCTGTCACAAGCAGCCTGGAACCTCTTCTGGTTGCCCACCACAAGTGGGCTGGGTCAGGAAAACCTGCATATTATCAGGGGTCCTTTATTAGCTTCCTGGAAAATGGACTTTTCTAATTTTTAAGTTTTGTTTGTTGTTGTTTTGAAGAGGGAGATTTTCTATTAAGTTTTCCAGTCCTGAATCAATATGTGGTGGTTCCACAGACATTTGTTAAAGGACTGATTTTTGTTTGTGGGTCTTAACACATTCCTGCAATCATTAGGATATAAAGGAATATAAACCAAGAATAATATACCATGGGAATATGTTTTGTTTAATTTTTTAAATGAGAAAGAATACCAATCACACTCTCCCTAGTAGATTCAGTTCAGTGATATTGACTTCAGTGACTTCCATTTTTTAAAAATGAACGATTAAAATGATAAACTTTTAAATTCATTGATTTTTATTTTGATATTTCCACAATTAAGAATTTCCCTATTTTTTCTGTTTAATTTAATTCATTCCAAATAATCCAACCACCAAACTTAGTCCTTCTTTTCATGCTCCCCTTAACTTATAATCACTTATATAACTATGAGTTTATAATTTAAACAACATAGGACCAAACATGAGAAAATGAAACTGTTTTGTTTTTAAACTTAAAAAATTAAAAAATGGAGTTTAAAGCATTTTCAGCATGTGCAAAACAATGAGTATATTGAGTAACCTCTTTCCCATAGAAATGTTGCCAAATGATCAACCTTTGTATAAATATAACTTTCTAGAATTACCATTTATTAGGTTAGAGGTTGTCAGTTAAGTAAATTATGCACATAGCTATGCTTTGTGCTTTTATTTTTTCTAATTGACTACAATAATCTGATATCCAAGTTTCTTAGAACATAAAATTATTTGAAGAGACTAGTTTTCTAGCTTGTTTMAAAACTGAACTGATTCCCCTAGGAAATCAACACATCCAGAATAATTCACTCTATGAGGACTTCTTTCATAACTCAGTCAATAATCACTAGACATTTCATTTAGGGATTATCTAGGAGTAATCTATGACTTTAACTTTTTCAAAAGTTTTTCTGTGATATGAAATCTATGAAATAACTGCTCTTTAGTATCTCCTGGGAACTTGATTTTGATTATGGCCACTAGCAATATCTATGGGACATGGGCAAGATTAACTGGGATGATGGTCTACAAGCTATGTTTTGTTTGAAATCAAAACATTTTTTTAAGGATAAAATGGATTTTAACATAGCAGAGAATATATTTTAAATTCTTGACCTTTGTTTCAGGTAAAATTTTCTCCAGCTAAAATGTCAACCAAGAATTCTACAGATCTAGTTGAATATGTTGACAAGTAAGTCTATAAAATTACTCCTTTTATGTATTTACTACATTTAATGATTCAGTCAGAGATTAAAGTGCCTAAATAAGACCTTTAAGGTCATCTAAACTAGTTCTCTGCTTTCAGAAATTCTCAACCATCTAAAGAAAGATGAATCTCTATCCTATTCCTTTTTGACCACAGAGCAAGCAGATTTTACTCTCTTCTCTTTAAATAACTTTCGTAGATCCCTATAAATTTATTTGTAAAATAATATAGCACAGGCTGTAAATTACATTTGATAATTTCAGATATAGCTAACCGTGAATCTCAGAGTAGCCAAGTTGATCCGTTAACATTTTATGACAAAAACTCAAGAAAATTTGAAATATTAAAGTGATCATCAGAAAAATTTTCTTTCTTCTATTTACAGTGGCACAGTTAGATCTCATCCAGGGTGAGTATACAGAAGGGGAACAATTCTGGGCACATAAAAATATGATGATGATGTATTATTAATACATCATATTATCCAGAAGTTCCTAGAATTCTAGTTGGTAAGGGTGGGATTTCAGAGCCAATGTGTATTTATTTGAATTGTCTTCTATTCAGCATATCAAGGGAGCATAATTTGGTCTGATGTTCTCATTAATATTTTCAGTACATTTGAGACTTGGACTCTGCTCACTCACTAATTTGCTGTGTGACCTCAGTCAGTCCCATAATGTCTCTGGGGTTTTTTTAATATTTATTTTTTAGTTATAGGTGGACACAATATCTTTATTTTTATGMGGTGCTGAGGATCGAACCCAGTGCCTCATGCATGCTAGGTGAACACTCTACCTCTGAGCCACAACCCCAGCCAGTCTCTGGGTTTTAATTGTTTTCATGTAAGGACAAAAGGGTTGGACTAGAGCTCCAGGGTCCRGTATAGCTTTTATTTAAAAAAATCTGATTCTAAAACATATATAATAACCACAAAATAGGATCAAATAAATAAAATGAGTTGATGAAGAAACAATCTATATATTATACTTCCATTTTTAAAAAATGACCAATTAAAATGATAAACTTCTAAATTCACTGATTTTTATTTTGATATTTCCACAATTAWGAATTTCCCTGTTCTTCTCCCTTTTAATTTAATTCATTCCAAATAATCCAACCACAATACTTAGTCCCTCTTTTCATRCTCCCCTTAACTTATAATTGCTTATGTAACCATGAGTTTATAATTTAAACAACATGGGACCAAACATGGAAAAATGATTTTTGTATTGTTGAAAAAATATTACATTTGATGAATGAATTTTTTGCTGCATTAAGGACARTGAATATGGTRCATACAAAAATAATTATCAATGGASATATTAGCTCACCTTACCACCCAAGAAAAAAAAAGAGACTTGTTCCTACCTGATTTCATGTGACAAATGGAAATTAGAAATCGTTCTTCTCATCTATCAATTCCAGTGTAAACCCAAGAGGCTTTGTTTAATGCACACTGGTGACCTACGTTTCAAGGAATGAGAGAAAAAATTCCTGGAAAGATGGTAATGAATTTCAGAAAGCCAGGACTTTTTTTTTTTTTTAACATCTTGGATTTCAGAGAAACTAAAATTAAAACAAAGAGGAGAAATAGTCTATAAGAGCATGATGAGGATTATCTGGCCACAACATTAATTTCTACCTTGATCTTTCTTGTATCCTTCTCTTGCTGTCTGAATCACATGTCTAGAACTTTCCCTTTACCTCCTGAGATGGTCAGTTCTCCTCTGATCTCTCCCCTATAATCTCAGACTAGACTGCAACTCCCTAAAGGCAGAGACTCTCTAACCTTGTGCTTGTGATAACCCTATAGTAGCCCACCATGTTGCATGGATACCAATTCTTGATGAATAGCGATTGACAAATTTAATGGAAACTAAGGGTAGAACAATTGAATCATTACKGTTCTGCAAGGTCAGGCAGCAGTGACCAAAATGAGGCAGATGTTAAGAAGACCGCTGATCAAGGCTTTATTGAGATTTCACTCCCAGGAGGAACCCTCAGACTGACAGAGTGGGTAAGAAGAGGGTCTGAGGAGAAGCCCKTGGCGGGAGGCTCGACAGGACTGGAATTTTTATTGGGCTTATGGCARGAAGAGAGGGCTTGGAACAGGAAAAGGGGTTTTTAGAGTACCCTGTCCTACCAGGGTTGGTGGGGATGGGTTGCTGGCTAAGATTCAKGATTGGCCAGGAGACCCCACTGATTGACAGGCAGTTCCGTCTGTGCCTGATTAGTGTTTCTTTCGTGCTTGTGGGTTGCTTAATCACCTCAAACCAACCTAACATCAGTGGTAGACTTATAGGTAGCTGACTAACTGGAAGAGCAAACCCATGTCCTGGCATTTCAATCATCAGTGCAGACATTTTGAATGGACATATGTAATCCAGTGAACTAAGTGAAGAGCAAGTTTTAAATAACTGCACCCTACAAATCAGAGCATTCACTGGGCACAACAAATGTACTGAAATGCAAACAAAGAACTTAGACAAGTAAAAGTCATTAATGACTCATTAAACTGACAGAATGCATATTACATTTCTCTGAGGTTCAATTTTARTAAATATATATGGATACATTCAAAGGCGATGCTCAGAACAAATAATAACAATCCCCAAAAGTAAAAATCCAACAAGGAAAAGAGGTAATGCCCATCCTATGAAAAAGCTTGGACTGGAGATATGTTCGATAGAGACAGGCAATATGGTTGTGTTTACAATGCCCTTCTCAGACTCAGACAGCTGCAGCAACCTCTCACATATTATTAGTAGGTTAAATGTTAGGTCATATCAACAATCCATGGGACACAGGATGGCAAAATGCCACTGATAATACAATCATTGATACCGCCAGTTATGGGTGCTCCCTCAAATGTTGAAGTTTGAACATTAGAGAACAGGAGGATGTTCTTGGTAAGGGTGGAGGAAGGGCTCAGAAGGAATTAACATTTCGGTTCCTCAGGGGACAGTTCCAACTTGCGGGACTCACTCAAAATTGGCCTCCTTGATCCGACATGACTCGATTTACCTATCTATACTGACTGCCTGTCTAATTCTGGCTTCAACGTTATATCAAAATCTATGAGTAATTCTGATTTCCACATTTGTTCATCAGTTCCACAACTGTTCACAATGAGCAGGCATCCACTGACCTTAGGACAGTGTATCCAGTGCCTATTTGAGCAGAAAAGCACCAAAGCCCTTTTTCTTGTTCTTTTTCTTCTGCTGGTGGAAAGAGCACTAATGGAAACCAGGACACCTCAGGTCTGCTCTTGAATCTGCCTCCCATCAGCTATATGAACTTGGGAAAAAGAACATTTCTTCTCTGACAATCAGCTCTATGAAGTGGGGAGGGAGTTTCAAGTGATCAATGATGAGCACTTGCTCCTTCTCACCTCTGCCCTGAATTCCCATCAACATTCTTCTATGAAATAAAGTAATTATTTAAATTACAATTGAAAAACATGTACTATTCTCCCAAGGGGTTTAATTTTAAACAGAAAACAAATTCTGCTCATAAACCTCCTGTTTTTCTTCAATTGACTGACCCTCTTGCTGGGGGTGGAGAATCAAATACATTCTAAGGTTGCTTCTAACCCTAAGATGCTCTAGTCTTCAAAAACTAATTACTGTCAAAACCAGTGCTAAACAGATGCTCATTAAACACCTACTATACTRTAGGTAGGCACTGTGGTAGGAACTTGGAGAGTCACCAGTGAACAAATTAAACAAAGATCCCTTCCCAGTGGAGCTCCCTTCTAGAAAGAGGCAATAGTATGTACTGCTGGGTAGCCAGGTAGGGAGGAGCACAGGCCTCAYTGAGACATTGGCCTTTGAGCCAAGACCAAGACAGGAAGGTTTGAGCCATGTGGACATCTTGAGAAAGAGTCAAGTTTTTAAGGCAGGTATAAAAAGAGAGCAAGGAGGACAGGAAAAATAAAAAGGATGGAAGTATGAATTTGAACCATGTGTCTGGAATTTTATTTGGAAGTCTCTGGATAGAAAGAATCCTGAGACTCTGCTGCCTCCGAGGAAAGTTCTAAGTTTCCCTTACAAAAAACAACTTACAAATGGATTAATTTGTCCAGGCTTAGTAATCTCAGTATTTCTCTCAAGAGTACATTTTGAGAAGATGAGGGTCTGGTTGACAATCAAAGAATGATATTTAAAATTTGGATAGATAAAACTTTGAGTAAGTCAAAGGGTCAAAATGACGAATGACTAATAATTTCTCCTTGAAATTAGAATGTGGCATTCAGAGTATAAAATTATTTGCTTTTAAGGTTTTCTCAGCACCATGGAGACATTTTATTATACGGTGATGCACTGTTTTCGTTACTAAGTGATAAAGACAGATATTTCACTCCACAGTATTTAAGAAAGGAAGACAAAACGCTGCTGTCGAGCTCTCCATGCAGGTCCTGTCAGGATGGATGGTGCTGCTACCAGCCACRGCACAGTCTTTTATTCTCTTTTTCATCTTCTCACTGACCCCTTGACCTCAAGAGAACAAGACTAAGCTAGGTCCAGGCACATCCCCAAGAATCCCAAATCTGTCATGGCAAAGGCTGCCCAGGTGACGTTCAGTGCCTCCAGCCCAGGAGGCAATTCATGCCCATCACATCTAAGAGCTTCTGCTTTAGTGAAAGACCCTGCTGAGGTCCGGCTGCAGCCAGTCTCAGTTCTCAAGAAGGAGCCCCTGTGACACCACTGCAGAGAGGAGATGTGAACCAAGCAGGGAAGGTGCCCAGAGTGAAAAATTACATGATGTTGAAGCAAGTTGAGTAGCAAGGAGAGGAATAAACACACCTCACCTCTCAGAGAAAAGAGCAAATATAACATAGAGAGCCACTAATTGTCCTCAGCAAAGCTGCTGTGATATAGGAGAAAGAGGAGACGCATGTCCCAATGTTTCCCAGCTGAGTTACTGATAACCCCCAAGCCTCAGTTTCCTTCTAAGAAAAATTTTACTTACATTCACAGGATAGT